AAATAATTAAAATATTCTTTTTGGAATTGGAAGTGCCTTTTTAATTCTTTTATTTAATTCCCTTGTTAATTTTGGGATTGTAATATTTGGATCTTTAATTGTATCTATCGGAATGATTTTTGGAATTCCTCTTATTACTGTATTGAGATATTATTTAATTCAATTTCATTAAATTGTTTATTCATTATTGGCTATAGATTCATTTTAATTTCTTATCTTAATTATTTTACCGCAAATTGAACGAAAATTATAGGCTAGAGCTTTAATTAAAACATCTACAAGTACGGCTACTTCAATAATGAGTACAAATAGTGCTACAGTTTATTTGTTAGAATGGATATTGTTGGGAGAGAATTTTAGTTGTATTAAGACAACAGCATCAGCAATCAATGGAGTTGGTATTATTTCTTTTGATTCTGAATTTTCTTTTGGAAATAATTTATTTGGAATTATTTTGGTTATTTTAAGTGTTCTTTTTGCTTCTTTTTATAATCGTTTTTTTTTCAAAAAAAAATTTTTTTTTCTCTTCAAAAATTCTTCACTGAGTCAAATATCTTTATTTATGTCTTTATTGGGGTTAACTAATTTATTTTTGAATGGAATTATTTCTTTTATTTTTATTCTGTGGAATAGATTATTTAAATTGGGAATATATACCTTGGTTAGAATTAATTATTTAAAAGGGAAGTTCAAAATATGTAAGCTTATTAACTTTAAAGTCATTTTTAGAGGCCTACAAGTAAATTTTAAACCTTTCCTACAATAAAGCTTATACGGAAAAATATTGTATACATGTGAATTAATGTGTTTAAAAGTAAAATATTCCCCCTTTAATTAACTTTTCTCTAACTATCACTTACTTCCTTATAGTTTTAGTTTATATATATATTCATTAAATAGAAATGTATATTTTGCAAATTCTTTCTCTAAAGGTTGATAATACACCAATAGAAATAATTAACGAAAGGAAACAATTTTTGACTAAAATGATCAAATAATGAGTCCATTTTCCATTTTGGCAAATCTAAAACAATCCAAATACCAATTAAGTATTTTACGTATGTTTGATTGCAAACCACCAATTTTTGGAGGATAAAATATACAGTATTCCTTTTTCTCGCTCTTGGGCAATTTTAGGAGATTTTAATAAAGACAAAAATATAATTATTTCTATGGTGTACTATCGCTATTAAAATACTACATATCTTCCTAATCAATCAAAAATATATCTATATATTGCTCAAAATTTTCTCTTTGTAATTTTATGAAGACAAATATAAATAAGGACAGTATCCAGGGATCGAGGATTTTTCTGTTCGGTTCTTCGGTTTATTCCCTCGTCCGTTATTGAAATTACTTGAAATTAATTTTTTTTCTCTTTTTGAGTGTATTTACATACTTTCTTTTCTAATGCTCTCTTTGTTTATGGGACTGAAACGGGCAATGATTTTTAGTATTTTTTTATTGAGTAGTTTTTCAATAAAAATTAAATGTTTTTATTTAAAGGAGCTGTCTTATTTTGGTTCATTTTAGGCCAATTTAAAGAAAGGGGGTAAACATTATTCGATAGAAAATTGTTGCCTTTATGTTTGGTCAATTTTTTTTTCTCTAATCGACAGGTACAAATATCCCAATACTGAAAATTAATGTTATTTTAAAGATTTTGGAATAGGAAATTTTTATTTTTCTCTCTCTTTCTTTGAACTTGTTTAAGTCAAATATTTTTTTATGTTTATTTCTTTCCTGCTCTTTTATATAGTTAATAATACATGAGGCTAAATAAAGGGACAATATATTGGGACCGTAATTTTTCTGTTCGGTTCTTCGGTTTATAGGTATTTTTCTGCAGATTGTCATTACGAAATTTAAATGATAAAAATTAATAACTGTCCAACTGTCACATTTTAGCACAATTAAAAAGGAGTTGGGAATATGACCTGTTTCCTTCATAATTACTGTTCCGTTTTGGATTTTCCTGTTTTCAATAATTAAAAAAAAAAATCCCAATACTGTAAATTCAATAAACTTGTAAATAAAGGGTAATTTTTGGGATTTTTGAATTATTGGATGATTTTTTTTCTTCTACTCTTTAGAGATTTTAATATTGATAAATATCCATTCACTCTCTACCTTATATTTTTAAAAATAAAAGGAACTTTGTAATTTTGTGAAAACAACAGTAAATTTGAGTGGGTTTCCATACAGAAGGTGTTTTGTTCAGTTCGTCGGTCCGGGTTTTTGAAACTAATTGAGAAAACTCCCTTTTCTGGTTACAGTCTATTCTCTCTCTCTATTGTGTCTGAACTGAAACGGGCAAATGCTTAAAAGCATTTTTTTCAAATTTTCATAATTGAGATTAAATGATTTATCCCAAAAGCAAAGTTATTGTTGTTTTCATAATAGGCCAAGAGTTTTACCACTGTAAAATCAATTTATTTGTAAAATAAATGGTACACAATTTCTGTTTTTGTTTTTTTTCATCTCCTTCTCTGTTCGGGGGTTGATGAGCCTATTTCTTTTACAAATAAATTGAACAGTGTTAATTATTTTGAATAAAGCGGGTTCTACTTAACAACCTAAACTAACACAGCTTATCGCCAAAAACTTTTATTAACTAGTAAAAACAGCACTAAAAGGTTGTTACAAGGGAATTAAATGTAATTTGGAGAAAGATTTACTTATTAATCTCGAATATAAATTAGAGTCTAGAAAGGCAAATAAACTAGGCAATTATTACATACAGACCCTAATACCAGCATAGGTGCTCTCACTTGCAATCAAGCTGTTAAAAGGTTTAGGGTAAGCCATATAATTGTCTGCAAGTAGCTGCTGATGCAAACACGGCTGGAGATACTATAAAGATTGAGGCAAACATCCGCAAATCTTGTCCGCAAATCCCATCTTATATTTCATCCTCTTATATATCTCTCAATTTCATAGCATTCTCTTCCTAATCTTTTCTCTAATCAAAAAATATAAGTTTTCAAGTTCCGTCAAAAAAAAATTTTTTTTAAAGCTTTATTTGTTGAGTGTTCAATTTATTGGATTTATTTTTTTGGTCTAGGCCTTTTTCTTGGAATATTTTTTTTGCTAAATTGTTGAAGGTAAATATTTAAAAAAAATATAATAAATAAATTTCAAATAAAAATTATTTAAAAAATATATTACATTTAACAAAATAATAATAAAGTAAAATTTAAAAAAAATAATATATAATACCATAAACAGAAATATATAATTTGAGAGCTAATTTAAAAAAAATAAATAAATAAAAAATATAACCATATCAATAAAATTGTTAAAAAATATATTGAAAAAAATTATTTAAAATGGATAAATACATAGAGATAGGTGCCGTTGATAAAAAGCTATTTGATGGAAGAATTTTAAGTGGGGCTGCGAAATTATCAGATCTAGAGAAAATCCATCAGGATACAATTTCATTGGAAGATGCCATAAACAGAAACCTTAGAGTACTAAACAGGGATTTAACTAAGATGGGGGATGCATTGGATACAATGGAAAAGGATACAAATAAGGGGTTTGCCGCAGTAGCTGCAAGAGTTGACGCCCTTGGGCAAGATATGGAAAAAGTTAAAGAAAGTGTTGAGAGTTTAAGAAGTGAATTAGAAGCGAGGGACAATTTAGAATTTGATGAATTTAGAAGCAGCGGCGCATCGAGATTATTGAAACCAACGCAGATCCCACCTCCTCCACCGCAGCACCAACAGAGTTCAAGTAGTATAAATAATATAGGATTAGCAAACTCCTTAGGGAATGAAAAGGATAAAACACGAAGTACCCAAAGTACTAACAATGGAGGTACTAACACACGCGGAGCGCAGAATCGTAATCCTGAAATACATGTTTTGGGCGAAGGCAGTTCCTCCGGACCTCAATTGGGAGTGTTCTCTGGAGAGACTGCCTCGGCATTTGATGAATGGACTCTTAGGTTTATGGATTATCTAGATGTCTTCGGCACAGCCTGGTCTGAAGCTGAAAAGGTCAATCGTCTCAAACTGTACCTAGGTACGCAAGTGCGAAATATTTTTGAAAATTTACTTCCATCTGAAAGGAATACAATCCCAAACGTGTTTAAAAATATTAGAGCGAAGTTGGATAGCCCACACTTCAGAGAACTCGCATATAAAAGATTAGCAGCTTGCTATCAAAGGGAGGGTGAATTAGTCAGTGATTTTATTAAACGTCTTGTACCTCTTGTAAATACTACCTCGTCCCACATATCTGCAGAGGCAAAAGAAGAAATTCTTTGCCGATGCTTCACTGAGAAGGTCAGACCCGAGTTCCAACGCTCACTCCAGTTAGTAGGTCCCTTAATTGGTAGGAAAGACTTTGATAAACTGACAGCTTATGTTCAAGAGCTTGAAGTTGCTGCTGAGAGGGATGGTAGAAGCACTAATGAAGTAATACATGCTATCTCGGACCACCCCAGTCAAGTACCTAGAGGAAGGTTTGCGACTTGGAGACCTATAAGCTCTGGTAATACCTCACAAGGCCCAAGGGGATTCAATAGAAATTCTCCAGCAAGGTTCGCAACTTCAAGTAATGCTCAGAGATTAGGATATGGGGGGTACCAAGGCAGGAATCAGTGGCGTCCACAGAATGATAGAAGGTGGAATAGTCGACCATTCTGTCACTACTGTCGTCGTGTGGGGCATGACCAATATAATTGTAGAGAGCGGCGAGTAAATGACAATTATAATAGAAATAGGGGACCAAGAGATGTTAAGCAAAAAGATAATTTAGAGGTAAGAGAAATGCTTGATAATTTAGCTGTGCAAGTTCATGAGATGAAAATGAGTGGGAAATATGCTTCGGCAAATCAAGGGAATATTAGGTCACTTCAACCCATAGCACATAGTAGTCCGCAACCTAAGGAAATAGAAATTAGTGCAGAGAAAGTGGAACCAAAGAAAGTCACCAGTTGGGAAAGCAAAGGACATAGAGTAAGAGTACCAACGCTTATGGGAATTTCTCTAATGCTGATTATGTTTTGTAACTGTGCGATTGCAATTAATCCGGTATTAATACCCAAAGGGCCAATGATTTGTCAGACTCACAAACAGGCTATGTTATGGGAAATGCCTGACATTCCAAGCTGTCCTACAATTAACCTTACAGCAAAACATGAACCGAAAATTGAGAAAAGACGTATTTATATCCCAAATAGTATTGAGTTCTCGACAAAAGCCTGGGCCTGCAGGAAAATAAAGAAAAATGCTCGAAAATATACAACGATAACAGGGGTTTCAGTTGAAGAAAAAATGACTCATGAAGAATTAGAAGTTTCGTTTGAAGAGTGTAATCAAATGATAAAACATCACAGTTGTAGCTTAGGCATTCTTAAGGAAAATAATCATTTGTGGCAGACTGAAAATAAAATTGATTTAACCCCCAGGATGTGGTTTCTAGGTTCTTTTTCTTGGAAGAATATTTCGAGTGAGAACTGCTTCTTATTTGAGAGTAGGATAGATTCACATTTTGGCGCTTCAGAAGTTGTAACCCCGCTAGGCATAGCTCGCGACTGCCCATATACAAAGGGTCATTGTATATTAGAGGACAAAACGGTTATAGTTTGGGAAGTGGACAACCAAAGGAAATGCAATTTTATTCCTGTAGGGGAAAAGGAAGGCCGATGCATGGGGTCCACCTGGCTTTCAGATGATGGACGCCTGGGGCTTACATTTGGAAATGAGACAATTATTGAGGATTGTGGTCAAAATATTGTCGTATCAGATCAAGGTCTAGGGTCCGTCTTACTTTCGTTCTCTAATTTAGAGAGGAATAAGAGAAGTCCTGAAATTAAGCATAAGAAAAGGTTTTATGATGGAGTAGCAACCTCCTCACAACTAGCATCTCAACTCACATATCTTGATTCGTCAATCACCCAGGCCATAAACTTTGCTTTTTCGCAGTCACTAAGGTCCTTTTGTGAATTTACTGAAATGGTCAAACATTGGACTGAGTCAACTTATCTCTCAGATCCTACAGATTTGGCGCGCTCTATGTTTTCTAATTCGTATTTAGTGGCAAAAAGGTCCGCAAGATCCCTAATGAAAGTATGGCCATGTGTACCTATAGATAAAGCAGATTTTGAATTTCGTCCTACCAAGTTAGATCACTGCTTTGAATTTTTGCCTATTATTTTAAAAACAGAAAGCAATGAACACCTAGCGTTTCTTGATCCCACAACAATGATTATATCTCCGACATCCAAGAAGGGTCCCTGTGAAGAATATAGAAAAATAATCATTCAAATAAATGATCAGACCTTAGAAGTTGATCAAATTGAAGGGAAAATAACTTCGGTAAGGCCAAGGATATTAAAGTCCCATGATATAAAAATGAATTTTGTTGATTTTATTCCAAGCATTGAGTCTCATGCATTTCATCAACTAGTCCTTTTGAACATGACTGATATTAAAGATCATGCATTCGTTAGTAATTTAGTCAAAGTCAGTCAAATGACTTACCAAATTCATGAAAAAGATTCTATTGTGTCGACATCTGTGTCGAATGAATGGCAAGAAGTTGAAAATCAAATTGAGAAAGGGTTAATTGGTGATTATAAGAGCATTTGGGAGACAATTATTTCAATTCTAGTAGTAATTTTAGCGCTAGATTTTGGATTAAGGTTTTCGATGATTATTGCTGAAATGTATGCGGGCAATGGGCGACTAGGTAGACTTATTTTTGGATCCGAAGTTCAGAAGGCTCCACCCCCTAGGAGAATGTTAGACATTCGAAGAGTACCAGAACCCATTGTAGAGCTAGATGAAGCATATGAAGAACCAGTAAACAGGCCACTATCGATTTCTTGGCCTCCTTCAATAAGAAATAACGCCAACTCCAATACTTTACCAAGAAGCAGCGCAAATACAAGACCTAGGTCTGCCATAGGAATTAATAGAACTAGTGGATTTATAGGAACTTTAGGAGCAAATGCCAATACTGTTGTGATTGATGTCAGTTTAAATAGTATTCCAGTCAAATGCTTGATTGACACTGGTGCAATAACCTCTGTAGCAAACATAGCACTTGCAGAATGGCTAGGGACAAAAATTTTTAAAACTGAAACTTATCTTCAAAGTGCCTCGGAACATTCCATGTGTGCCAAGCAAGCCACTAAGGTTCAATTAAAAATAGCAGGAGTGTTAGCTGAGATTGTTATTCATCTTTTTAATGATAAGTTTCACTGGGATAACCACGATTATCACTTCATTTTGGGTTGTGATGCAATGACACTACTGCCTCCATTTGTCGTTGATCTTAGAAATAAGCTTTTTCGTATTGAGGGCAGTCAAATATGTATTGAGAACAGAGTAAATAGACCGTTAAGAAATTTAAAAATATATTCAATGGAGACTTGTGAGATAAGACCCAATGAGCAATGCTTAATTAAAGCTAAAATAAATTTCCCTGAATTGCTTAGGCATAATATCTGGGTGCACTCAATAGATGAGAGACTTGAAGAAGAAGGTTTAAGTTTTGTGCCAGTAGTAGCCAAGCCTGAAGATGGAGTAGTGAAAATAATTTTAGCCAATCCAACTGGGGTAACAAAAAGATTATTTAAAGGAAAGACATTAGGTCTAGCAAGTGAAGTAATTAAAACAGAATCTGAGAATATTTTATCAGAAACTGTTTGTAATGAAGATGTTCAAGAAATCTTTTCCTTAGGGAAGACCGGGGTAACCATTGATCCAACTTATAAAATTGATTTTGGTAAAGCTACTGTAAAGGGTGGAGATCTTAATAAACTAAAAGAGCTTTGTGATGAGTTTGAAGACATTTTTAGTAAAAGTCAGTATGATATAGGAAGTTGTACAGCAGGCGAACATGATATAATCACAACATCTGAAGAACCAGTTGCTTCCAGACCGCATCGAGTACCTTTTAAGTATCGGGATGAATTACAGAAGCATATTGATCAATTGCTAGCCTCTGGGGTCATGGTTGAGTCTGATACCCCTTGGGTTTCTAACATTGTATTGGTTCAGAAAAAGGATGGTGGGCTTAGGCCATGCATTGATTTTAGAAAATTAAATGAAGTGACAGTACCTGATCACTTTCCTCTCCCAAGACTTGAAACAATTTTAGAGAAAGTTGGTAATTGCAGATATTACTCATCACTTAACCTTGCTAGCGGGTATTTGCAAATTAAACTTAGTGAAAGAGCGTCAAGAAAATGCGGTGTTATTACCGAGGACAAAATCTATCAGATGGTAAATTTACCTTTTGGACTTAAAAATGCCACTAGTGCTTTTGCAAGAATAATGGCGCATGTGTTAACAGGGCTTGATAATGTCATCGCATATGTTGATGACATCCTTATTTTTACCAAGTCTGACAATTTTGAAGAGCATATTAAAGCCTTAAGGAGTGTGTTTGAAAGATTTAGGCGCTTTAATCTAAAATTAAGTCCTAAAAAGTGTGTCTTTGCTTCGGCAAGCATGGAGTTTCTGGGTTTTATTGTAAATGAGTCAGGATATACACCTAGTTTAAGAAAAACTGAAACAATTTTAAACCTGAAGGTTCCCACTTCGGTCAGAGAGGTCCGGCATGTAATTGGAATGGCAAACTTCTTTAGAAAGCATGTGCAAAATTTTTCTACAATAGTTGAACCATTAACAAGATTAACACGAAAAGAAAAGCCATTCACTTGGGGCGAAGAGCAACAAGTAGCCTTTGATAAAATTAAGAAAATATTATCTGAAAAGCCAGTTTTAATTTTTCCTGATTATTCAAAACCTTTCCATATATTTTGTGATGCGTCGCAAGTAGGTCATGGTGGTGCTCTAATGCAATGGGATGAAGAGAAAAAGGTTTATGGAGTTATTTGCTACTGCAGCAGAACTCTTTCCAATGCAGAAAGAAATTGGCCACCTGTTCAAATAGAATTAGGTGCTATTATTTTCGCGCTTCGGCAATTTAAACCTTTTATTTTCATGTCAAGTATTGAACTTCACACTGACCACAAGCCTCTGGCATTTCTCTTGAAAAAGGCTGAAACTCACCAGCATCTAGCGCGTTGGCTTGTAGAATTGCAGAACTATAATATTAAAATAGTACATATAGCTGGTAAACAAAATACTCTGGCCGATGCTCTCTCGAGAATTCCTCATGAAGATTTGACTCCTGAAGAAGTTGATAAAATTAGTGAATTGGAAGACATAGCTGAATTCCCTGTTTGTTTAGCCATTGAGAGTAAACCGAGAGTTGTTCACGAAGTATTCGCATTAACGTTGTCTTTAAGGTCCATTGAGGGTGAAATGCATCAAGTTTATATTAGGAATGAACAAATGGAAGACCCTGAAGCATCGATTGTGATAGAATTTTTGAAAACTGGAAAATTCCCTGAGGACATAACTGAAGGGGAAAAGGATGAGTACGCAACATTGGCAAAAGACCTTTGTCTTGAGTCTGGTGTGCTTTACCATCACTACAAGGATCATAAGCCTAGAATTTATATTCCTATTTCGCTTAGAGCCATGATTTTTGATTCGTTCCACACAACTAAGTTAGGTGGGGGACACATGGACTTTGGGAAAACCTTTAGAAAATGCAAAAAATATTTCTGGCCTAGAATGCACTCAGACATAGTAACTTGGTATAAACAGTGCATTACCTGTCAGCTTAGGCATTCTCCAAATCCTCCATATAGAGCTGAGATGTGCATGCCACCAGTAAACACGCTTTTTGCCAAAGTCGGCCTTGACTTGGCAGGACCTTTTCCTAAAACACAAAATGGTAATAAGCATATTTTAAATATTGTATGTTGGTTTACCAAGTTTGTTATATCTGTCCCAATTCCTGATGCAAGGGCGTCTACCATAGCTTCGGCTTTCCTCAAGCAATGTTATTTACGTTTCGGTGGTTGTACTGAATTAATAACAGACAATGCGTCGGCTTTCACCTCAGATTTCTTTAAGAGTTTATGTGCAATGCTTTATATTAATAAAACTTACGCTATTCCTCATTGGAGTCAGGGCAATGCTGTGACTGAAAGATCATTCAGGACGTTCCATAATATACTTGCCAAGTACATCACAAGTGATCAGCCTGATTTTGATGAACATTTAGAGTTCGCTAACTTTTGTTATAACACCTCAGTCCACCAATCGACAAATGAGACTCCTTTCTTTTTAATGTACGGACGTGATCCAATATTCTGCGTTGATTTAATTTTGGATCCCAGAATAAGAGAACCAATAGCCCTAAATGATGAGCAAGAGATAAAACAGAAGCTAATTGTTTCCCTAAGATGCGATGGAAATACGCGGCAGAAGCTAATAGCGAAGCACAGCTAAGATCAAAGGCGCAATATGACAAGTTATTTAGGAATCCAACTGTCACAATAGGTGATAGGGTGCTTCTTCGGAATTATACTGGAAAAGTCGGGTTTTCAAAGAAATTCCATCTTCCCTGGAAGGGTGTATTTCGAGTCATCGAGATTAATGGTGTTCGTGTGACAATAATTAGTTGTAGTTCACCCCAATCTAACCCTAGAATAGTTCATATTAACCAGTTAAAGAAATGCATAGAGCCCTTACCTTATGAACCAGCATGCACAACTCCTAGGTTAGAAAATGATGATTTAGAAGCTTTGGCAGAGGCCAATGCAGAGGAAATAGTTGATATGCCGGGATTTTCTCACAAAAATGTTGTTGAACCGAATGTAGTAGCAGAACAAGATAGTCAAGCTGATGAAACATTAGGACGTCAAGGATTAGGCAGATACAATTTAAGAAGAAATCCCAAACAAAAGATTCTCATAATAGCTTCGGCAACTGCAAGGAAATAATAAAAATAAAATAATAATAATAAAACAAATAATAAAATAAATAAATAATAACTAAATAATAAATAAATATAATAAATAAATATAATTTTTGTAAATAAAATATAATTTGAAAAATGAGAAAGTAAGATATTAAAATTCCAATAAATATAGATGAAACAGCCAGTTACAACTACAGCGATTGATGGAACAAAATTGACTTTATTTTTTACTAAAATTTTTGTGTTTTCAAACCACTTCAATTGTCAGTTTACAATTGATGGCATGGATTTCTGTTGTACTGAACAGTACTACATGTATTACAAAGCGCTAGTGTTCGAAGATTATGAGTCGGCTCAACAAATTCTCTCCACAAAAAACGCGGCTTTAATTAAAAGGATTGGATCACGAATCCGAAATTTTGATCACTTTAAATGGAGACGTGTTTCTATTCTTATTATGGCTATTGCTAATTGGCATAAATATCGCCAGAATCCAGAATTAAAAAGAATGTTATTTCAAACTGGACAATCTCTTTTGGTCGAAGCAACCTCTCGTGATCTATACTGGGGTTGCGGTGTAGACATTTCTTCGCCTAAGATTATTGAGAAGAATAGATGGCCTGGGAAAAATGTGTTGGGCATCATTCTAACCGATATTCGAACCAGGCTTCTTAGTTAGTAGTTTAAGTATTTATAAATATCTAAATTAAAATAAAAAACCTGATAAATCCAAAAATAAATTTAAATTAATGAAAAATAAATAAAGTGCTTTAAAAAAATCAAATCACCAATTTTTAGAAATAGAAATGGAAAACCGACAACATATTCTGGATTTGAATAATTTGGTCGAGTTCCCGCCACTATCCTCAACAATTTTACCTACTAACTCTCCCAAGTCCACCAGTATTCCTCCGTCTGCTATGTCGTCGTCGTCCGCTGATAAAAGTCCACCAGTCAATCAACCGAGTTGTTCCACCAGTAGTTGTTCCACCAGTAATGTCCAGGCTTCGGCCATTAAACGGATTGAATCCAGGGAGAAAGAAAAAAGTAAAGAAACCACAGATGAAATGCTTAAAGAAAATGTTGAAGAGAAAGAAAAGAAGATAGTAGAATACCTGATTTGTCAGGTGGAAGAGAATGGAGTCATTGGAGCTCGTTTCAACCCAACCACGAATAGAAATTGGCCACACTTTGTTCTGATAAAGAATGAACTGGCAGAGAAGAGTGATGGCTTTGTTGCAAAATTACAACTCGGGGATTCGGTTTGGGTATCTGAGTTTGTATGGCGAGAAGGCTACAAAGTGTTGGCTAAGAATGCTGGAGAAGTGACTCAGTATAGGAAGATTTGGTTTCATAGTCGCATCAACAGTCAGGCCACAGTCTCTTGTATTGAGTTCATCTCGTATGCAGAAAGAGTTGAATGTTCTGGTGTTGTTATCAAGATCAAAGAGACCAAAGATGTCAGATCCTGTTGTATTGTCATCGCTTCGAAATTGCAAGTTTCCACTCGATGTTATCGTCGTCAGTTGATTGGACTAAACTTAAATGAGATTGAAATTGGTCAATTAGTTAAAGTTTCGGTCGCTAAATTACCTGCAAACTTTCTTGTCGATGAATCGTATGTCCTCCCACACATGACTGAATACAAAATTGGTTCTGAAGAAGTAATACAACAAGGGATGGGCACTCTTGGAACAGTGGAACCACACGGGCCTTGGCCATATAAAAGGAATGGAAAAAATATATTTTACCCTCTGTTACCTGAAATGACGCAGGGTGAAGTTGAGTTGTCTGAAGGTATAATGAGTGCCGCAATCGGTTTCTCCTATGAAGATGAAAGAAGGAAAATAGTTGAAAATAGGTTCGAAGGCATTGCCATTTTTGTTGATGAACTGTTTCGTCTAGGTTTCACTGAGATTGACAGTGCAAAGGTGAAAAATTTGAAGGATGCTTGGAACGAAGATGATCAAGTAGTCCTCAAGTCGGAGATGCATCTTCCAAGTTTTGCATCAGGTGTCGTTAGAAAGATCGAAGTTTCTCAGGTTCAGTCCTTCGGGAACAAGAGATTTGATTTTTGGATTAGTGTGAGGGTTGTCAATGTCCAGGAGCGAAAGAACAGAGATGTCGAGGAAGAATTGGAAAATGCCAAGGATGGGGGCTTCATTGTAGTTCATCCGTTTCTGTTTAAAGGGTTGGAAAGTCGTCGAGAGTGCTTTGATTTAAATATGCCATCAACTTTATCTTTGCAAGACACTAATCAAGGAAGACTTCTTCGCGCTTTACTGGCCAGAGAATTTGAGGTCAATGATGAAGTAGAAGATTGGGATGCTTCGGCAGTTGAAAGGATTCACCCATTGATGAGGTTATTGAATAGGAAACAGCAAGAAACAGCCAAAATTTTATTGGAAGAGGGTTGTAAATTTGTTTTCCAACAGGCTCCGCCTGGAGTTGGGAAGACCCACGTGGCGTCTGTTGTTGTTGCCATAATGTTGTCCATTGTGACTAATGTTAAGGTAGCAGTTATCACAGCAGCGAACTTGCCTTTGGTAAAGTTAGCTCGCGAATTGGAAGAAGTTTTAGGTAGCCCTGAAATGGAGCGTTCAGGAGCTGTCGCTTTCTTTTCGGGTTATGCTAAAGATAAATATTTTGGTATGATTAACGAGCTTCGGCAGCATATGTTAGTCACCAAATTGAAGTCAGAGGAAGTTCTGAGAAATCTTGGAAACGCTGACGTAAAAGAAATCGATCAATATTGTGAAAATTTTGATCGTAGGTCTCGGTTAACCAATGAATGTAAGATGGGGTCTCTCCTTGCAGAGCTCTCCAGACTACGCATTGTGTTTGCCACGTCATCCATGGCAGAAGCAATGGTGAATTCCTCGTTGCTCGATACGTCAGTTCTCATCTTTGATGAGGCGACGCAAGGAAGTTTTACTGAGCTCGCTCATTTAATTTGTCGTCTTCCCAAACTTGAAAAGGTGTTGGTCACTGGAGACCAACACCAACTTGGTGTTCATCTCCAGAACCTGCCTAAGTGCCTCCACTATGGAGGCACTTATCTCCAGAACCTGCCTAAGTGCCTCCACTATGGAGGCACTTACTTCTTGAGAGATGATTGTCGTGCAACTGTCGCGTTGAGTCGTGCCAAGCATGGACTTTTCCTCGTCGGTGACATCGAGACTTTGAGAGGTGGTAAAGTTTGGAGCAGGTTTATTGATCGTGCTTCAGATTTTACAATGGTTGTTGGTCAAGAATATTTGAATGTCCTCCGAAGTGGATCTTGTAAACGTGATAGGTTTGGCCAGCTGTTGTCCGCCAGTGGGAGAGTTGTAGCTAACTTTGTTGATGAGGTGGTTCCCCAACAGCAGCAACAACAACAACCTTCAACAAGTAGATTGGGCAGAAATGAAACATGGAGACGAGATGGACCAAGTACAAGTAGAGCTAAAGATTGGTTTGAAAGAGATTTTAATAATTTAAATATAAACAATACCACAAATTATATTCCCAATTTTAGGAAGAGACAAGCACCCAATGAATTGCAACAATATCAAGGTACTACATTTGTTAGAACCGATCAAATGCAATGTTACAAATGTGGAGGCTTTGGACACTTCGCTCGCGAATGTATGGAAAACAATTATGGTACTTGGCGTAAGGATTCATGGAGAGGAAGAGGAAAATAAAATTAATTTTTATTTTATTCGCTTTATTTGTTTGAATGAGTTTGAATGTTTTTAGGTTTTAAAACATAATTTTGTTCCCCCATAATATTTGTGCTTATTTACATTTTGTTAGACAAATTTCCAATTTTCCGTCTCCACCTTCCACAATTTTCCTTTAAATGTTTTGAATTTACTAAATGTTAATACTAGGGCACATTATTGTATTTTTAATTGTGTTTTTTTTTATTACCCCAGAATTTCTTCTCCAATTTAAGCCTTAAAAATAATTTGAGTTTAATTTTATGTTCCCCTTTATATAACTTATGCCTGTCAAATATAATTTTTTTTTTGCATTTCCAAAAATTCTCAAAATGTCATTTTTTTACACCCAAAATGTACAATTTATATAGAAATTTCATTGGAACCCTTCAAAAATATTTTTTTATAATTTTAACTATTTACTCTAATTAATCAATTAATTATTTTTCAAATTTTTTTATTTTGTTTGCCAATTTACATTCAATTTTACTTCCCTCCATATCTCACTTAAGATTTTTCAAAAATTGTTTTTGTTAATATTTATATCATTCTCCCAACTTTTTCAGGTACTAGAATAATTTTTATTAATATTTATTCAATTCACCTAAATCCCAAAATTGCCCATTTCACTTTACTCAAATTAACGTTAATCACACATACAAAATTTATTTTTGCCAATAATTTTATTTAAATTGCCCATTTTTCAATCAGCCTCACTAATTTCACAAGAATTTAATTTTTGTTTAGCCATTTAAATCCCAAAATTTGTGTTGTCATTTAATTTTACTTAGGTAATTTCTGGATCCTTTTTACTATTTTGGCATTTTTTTTTTCAATTCCAAACCTTATCCCATTTAAAACACGTTTTCAAAATTTTAATGAATATGCTCATACTAGGTTAGCCAAAAACAAGGAATACCCCAGAAATATTTAGACTTTACCCACAATAATTTCTAAACTCTTAAAAAATAATAACCCAACTACTAGAAAATGACCATAAAATAAATGCACGAATCAATAAGCAACTTTGAAAGGAAAGAATAAGTTAATAGTGGACCAGGGACGGTCCAAAAGGAAAGGAAAGAGAGACATGCTCGAAGAGCATGGAAAGTAAAAGAAAGAGAAAACATCATGAAAATAGGCTAAGCCAGGCATCAGAGTGCTTATTGATTCGGTATGAAAAGGAAATGGTCAGGTTACTAGTAGGAGGGGAAATTGTTTTTAAAAGTAGAGAAATTAGAGTCGGAAAAGTCTAGATAGAGACCAGGGACGGTCTCGTGGGGAAAGGGACGTGTAAGGTAGAACCCGGTATTGAGCATGTTCGGAGTTTGTGTCTTTGGAATTTGTATCCATATCCCATTTATTTCTATTTCATGCAATTTTAAATCCCGCCCCTTTTTCACACATTTGATTTCGATCATTTTATTGTTAGTTAGTTAGTTTTTGTGTTTAGTAAATATTATGAATTTGTGTTAAATTGTTAAATAAGGATTTCCACCGGCCGGTGTGTGTTTGTGTATATTTGAGTATGGGGAATTGCTGAAGGACCTGATCAACCCTGAAGCTCTTCCTAGGAAGTCCAAATATACTCCCCTCCCAATATTCCTCTATATTCTGGGTATGGACTCGGCACGGCTTCGGCCCTATGGTTTGGAGAATATGAGTGAGAGAACATCTTTCTGGTTTTCTTTCTTTATTTTAAATTTATATCATTTTATTTTAGATATTTCTTATCTTTTTTTAAAGTTTAACTTATTTATTTTTAAGACAATATCAAAAATTTAGTTTAATTTCTAAAGCTATATTTATTTTATTTATTTGTTACAAGGTCACATTCCCTATAAATATATCTTTTGTTTGTTATTACGATGTTGAATTATTTTTATAGCTTCTTTAAACATTTAATACAAAAAACAATTCATCTTTCATTCATTTTTCATCTAACAAATAGGAAAAAACACTTTTTATAACTTACATTAAATTAAAATGAAATATCCTTTAAATATTAATTTATTTTTAAATTATTTTAATTTAATTATTTTTAATTTTATTTTAAATATTTCTCCAAGCTTTTCTTCTCTTTTCTGTCCACATACAGCATATCCTTCGTCTGATACTGATTTTGGTATTTAAATTTTTATGTTCACAAGGATACTTTTTAAAATAATTCAGTCTTTCGACCGAATTTTTTTTCGGGTCGTTTTGGCGCGAAAACAAAAAAGTGGCACTTATGCGATAACTAATTCCATAAAAATTTTCACAAATTTCTTTAACATCCATGACTATCTTCTCCGGAAATTTCAGAATTTTTCATCAAAAATTTCTTAAGTTATAGTCGATAGACTTCGAAAAATTAGGCATTTTTCAGAAAATCAACATTTTTGGCCACAATTTCCGAAATTCATGATCAAAAATTCTGAAATTTTTGGAGAACATAGATAAAGGCACGAGAGTTATTATTGCAAAATTTTATCTTTTTTGATAATCAACTCACTGTTTTATAAGCTCGCGCCAAAACTTCACCGCGCCAAAACGTCCCAGTCCACATAACACGGCCCAGTCATTTTGAAGTCATTTTTAACTGGGAACCAGGGGTCTGCTATCGAATAGTTTATTTTACATTCGCTTATTTTCAGTCATTACGGTTATAATTGGAATTGTGATAAAAATTAATTCAAACTCTATTTTAGAATATCTTGCTAATGTATTGCTTAAATAATACCCTGGGTATTTATTGTTTCAACCTCGCTGTATATCGCTCTTAATTGGAGAATTCAGTGGGATATCGGGACAGAATTCTTCTTAATCTCTCAAACAACTCCTCTTAAAAGCTCAATATCACTCTTAATCCTTACAAATTCATCGATATCTGTCTCAATCCTTTTAATCTCCCTATATATTTTTTATATTTTCATCAAAATAATGATTTTTCAATACATATTTTTTAAATTATATTAAAATTAAGAGCATTTACGGTAGTTTAATGGAGAAGGGGTAGCTCCGTCCCCCGAAACTCCGACTTCGACGAATTTTTGAGGCTAAAACCTCGGCAAATCTTGGGCTTAACCCTGGAGCTTAACCACAGCAAACCACACCCACGATTGTACCGAACCGAAGGTCGGGTTTCATTTGAGCATTCACGGTAATTAATAGTTTGTAACAGGATAAACAAAATATTAGATTCATTTTTCTTGACTTAATTTAATTAAAATATTTAAAATCATAATTCAACTATTTTTCAACAGAAAAATTGCGTGTAGAAGTCCAAACCCTTGATGACCCAATTCAATTAGGTCAACCTATTTATCGTTTAAATAGAGCTGCATCTATCAATCTTGACTTTGATGAAAATATTGGGAATGCAGGAAAAGACGGATTTTATTCTCCTAATGGAGAAAAGCCTTTCCGTTTGTTTACTCGTGCTTTGAGTTCGGAATGTCCAAAACGGGGGTGTTTGCATGAATTGGCTTTGGCTGAACCTAGAGTTCCCGGTTATTAATTTAATTTGATAAGAAAATTTTTTGCAATTTTTAATAATTAAAGGAACTCTTTTCTACCATACGGACACAATAATGGGTAAAGTAATTCCTCCAGGATTTTTAACAGTTGAGGCAAATCCACGGCTTTATTGTGCAATTGTGAGTGATGATTGTGGTAGCTAATTTATGCTAAGTTGTTGGAAAATACTCTAATTTATTAAGGTGCCAATGTTCCAATATATCGACATTTTAAGATGGTTGGACCTCGTGTTTGTGAGAATTTTAACTTAAATTACAATATAAAAACTTCTATTTTCATCGAAATGTTAAACTAGAATGAGCCTTAATAATATCCATTTGTTTTACCGACTTAGCTATCGGGGCGATCTTTTACTTTTTTAATTATAAACCACAGCCTAGTAAACGTTTAAAATACTTTACAGTTGGATTTCTGTTCTTATTTACATATTTAAATATTAGATTATGCCTATTCAACATCTCCTGATATAGAAATTCCGGGTAATTTTACTCGAGAGCAAATGCCAATGTGTTTTGGTTGGAGTTTAGAAAGGCCTTCTCCAGAATCTTTAATTAAATTGAAAAACCGAGAATCCTCCTCTTTAAATAAAAATAAAATAAATGAAGAAAAAAAGGAGAAAAAAACAAAGAAAAATAATATTGAAGAAAATGAAGAAATTAATAATAATTTAAAAATTAACGAAAATAAAGGAGTAAAAATAATTATGGAAATAGATGAAAATAAAAAAGATGATGAAATGATAAATTTGAAGGAAATAGATGATTGCTTAAATATTTCTCCTTTAAATAATTTAACTAACGAAAATAGTAAATTTGTAAAATTAACAGAATATGATAATGGGAAATTAGGTATGTAGTTAATGAAGAAACTTGTGGCTCCTTTTTAGAAATATTCCCGAGTTCAGGGTTCGGAAACTGCTAAGAAACTGCTAAAGAGTCTGAACTCGGAAATCTACAGTATTTCCATCATTGAATGACCGCACATTCAATTTTTCCCTAACCTTACGATTGGCCTATTTATTAGAGTTGATTAAACGGGCGGTGGCTTTTAATTCGGTGATTGAGTGTGGATTGAATTTCCCTCTATTAGTATGACATTAAATTTTAGGAAATACGGATATTTTACAAAATTTACTTTTAAATACCAATTAATTTAATAATAAATTTTTAAAATTAAGGAACACTACACGATCATTTATATACAACAAACAATTCTGTTAGTTCAGAATATAAAAATAATGTAAATAAAATTTATATAAAAATAGTTGAATTAAAATTTTAAATTTTAGAGCCAATTAGGATACGTTTTGACAGAACCTGTTCGTTCAAAATGCCCAGAAAAATGTCTAATTAAATTAGGACAAATGTTAACAAACAGAAGTGAAGCACTTGGAATATTTCGTAAATTTTTTCTAAATTTAATTTTTAAATTTTAATTCAAAAAAGCAATGAATGACCACAAAATTGTTTTAATGGGAAAAGAAAGTGCCGATACTTTTTATTCTCCAACCGGGGAAATATTTTATTGTTCAAAGAAGGAAGGCCAATGTGGGGCTAATTTGGCAATTAGACGTTATTGGCATTTGGTGGACATGGGTAAACAATTATGACGTATTTTCTGTAACTTATAGCCTCCTATGATGGATGACTGAAAAATAAAGTACGATCTGAAATAGAACCTCCCCTTGCACTATCCCCTCTATAATTAAGCATCCATTTGTAGCATGATTTAAAAATAAGTTCCAGAGGTTCTATTACAAAAAATATGTATGATTTTTAAAAAAGTTAATTTTTATAATTTAGATACCATTATAACAGTAAACACAATATTACAACCTCCACTTACTATTCCAACCTGGGATGGTGTTTTGTGCTATATTTGGTCTAAAGAGGAAAATAATTAAAATGAAAAAATATTTCCGAATTTTATCCCATAATTCATAACAACAATAATTTAAAAATATTAGTTTTTCCCAGAATTTCATGCTATATTAAAATTTTTATTCTATCTCTTGGTTCAAATAAAATAAATTAATAAGTTTTGTTAGTTCAATATTACTAAATTAAATGAGATTCGTATTGTTTTAGTATTAACAATAGTTAATGCCGAAAGGCACAAATTTGGCTCAAATTTATTATTAATTTAATTAATTTTATTTATTTTGTATTTCATTTATTGATTGCTACTCGCCCAATATGTTCATTTATCATCATTTTCGCATTTTAGCTTTGTATCGTCCTGCTTCTTCCCTATTTAACCACTTGCCTTTTATTAGAAAAGTCAGTTTTTGAACTAACACTTTTCTAAAAGACCTGCTAAGCACCAGCTTACCAGCTCTTCCCATTTGAATAAACTCATTTCAAAACACCACAAGGAAATGGATTGAAATTGTGGAAGGAAGAAAGTCTGACCATTATTACATATTAAGAAAAACTGAGACTCGAATAGGGGAGGGTGATATATCCATAAAGTATCCAGAAAAATATTTTAAACAAATATCATAGACATTACAGACAAAATAGAGGTAAAATATGCGTATTTATAACACTTTTTATTTTTTATATCCCTAAAAACGAGCAAGAAGTGCTCTTTTGTTTAGAGAGTTTGCCTCTGTCCTGTCTTTGTTTTTTTATTTTACCTTATTAGAAAATAAAAACAATTATGTACTTATAATGTCTGGGAAAATATAAAAAACGAAAAAATGTTTTTTGAATACATATTTATACTGTAAACGAGGCGGTCTATTTACAAAATATTTATTTAAGAGCAACCTTAATTATAGTTCTATTCATTAAAACATATGTAGCTTTAGTTAATTTATCTGAAATAGATTTATAAAAAATATTTCATAAAATTATTTTTAAATTATACATATATACCTCAGGTTAACTAGATGGGAGTTTAATAGCTAATACATTTACCTAGTTACTCATATACCTAATTTAAATTTTTTAGATTAATTTAAAAACAAATCTTTCTTATCTAGGTAATGAAAGAAGACATATCTTTTGATTCTGATTATGAATTAATTGTAAAATAAAAATTTATAAATAAAAAAAGTTTTTTCCAATTTTCAGCAATTCAATGGTAATTTAAAACAAGAGAATGAAACCAGCAGTAAAAATGTTTTGGTAAAAGTGTTTTAAAATAATTTAAATTTTTTGATATAATTCAAGCCAGAAAATCAAATAAATGTTGAAGAATTAAAACAAACTTTTCAACAAATGATTGATGAAATAAAAATGGAAAATGTTAAACAAAATGCTGATTTAAAAGAACTTATTGAGCAGAAAAATGAAAAAATAATTTGTTTGGAAAATAAAGTTAAACAGGTAATTTAAAAAATTCTTAGTAGAAAACTGAATTTAAATAAACATATATTTAACTGGATGATAGTTAAATATATTCCTTCCTGATATCTTGTTATCTATTTACATCTCTTATCTAGAGGTTAAGATGATATCGAGTGTTTTGGAATATTACTGGGCATATTGGGAAAATAAGATTAATGCAATCAGATATGATCTTTCCTGGTAAAATAATGAATGATATAGCTAGTAATACTTTTGATAATGGTCCTTATTCCCAACTTATTTTTATCCATGTACTAATTATTTGACCATTGGATTTTCAAATTAATAAAAATGTTTGCAACGGGCTTCATTTAAATATTGAGCAGCATTATACTGACAATTATTAAAGATCCTTAATCACAATAGGAATACAATCAAAATTATTAAATACGATAAAAATCTAAGAAATTATGAAGTTTAATATACCTATAATATTTAAATTTATAGAAGATGGAGGAATCAACTGACAAAAAGTTTGGAGAATTGACTGAGGAATTGGAACAAATAAATAATACAGACAATCAATTGTGTTTCGTTCATGTTTCGAATAAATGGAAAGAAATTAAAGAAAAATGTGGTGATTGGTTTACGGAGGATTGTTGTGAAGCTAAATGTATAAATACAGAAAAACCTATTGGAAAGTGTGTTAAGGGAAATGGATTTGCTAATGTGATTAGTGATGAAAACATTAAATATATTGAGGCTAAGACGGGTGTTCGTCTTTATAGTTATTATTTAAACAAATATTAAACTTATTTTTAAACTTTATGTATTAAAGGACGTGATAAGCCGACTACTGTTTATTGTGAAAATTCATTTAATAAACCAAAGGACAGTTCTAACTATTCCTTATTTTATTTTGAAGTTAAATATATAAGTAAAATTAAAGAGGAGAGAATTAATCATAGAAGCATTAATATCGGTCTTTCTAGCAAAAATTATGTAAGATTGATTTTTGATGTACATGGTAGTAAAGATATCTGGTTTAATGTTCAAAATCAACAAAATCAACATGGATGCATTAGTCTTAAAAATATTCTTTGGAATAACAATGATATTTTTGGGTGTGGATTAGTGTATCCACCAACTAATACTAACAACTTTTCTTATGTTTTCTTTACTCATAATGGAAAACAAATTGGTATTAAGAATTTTGGTGCATTCTGTTATATTTCAGCAATTTACTTTATTTTCCTTCTTCTTTTGTATAGGATTAGTTATATTAAATTCTCTAGTAATAAGCTGGCTCTGCGTGTTAAGGGTGGCCGAAGTGTACCAGGCAGGGTTTGAATGGAATTACGAGTTCCGGCGTTTTATCATACGTTTTCCGTAATTCGGAAGAATTTTTGTCTAAATTCTAAAAATTTCCACTTGCGGCTTAAAGTATTTGGCATATCGGATGATTTCCATGGAGTAAGGTAACTTTGGAGGGATATTGGATGATGTGAAGTGATTAAGTGTTTACTAAAGGATCTAGATAGGATTAAGGTGGGAATTAGGAGATTTGGAGAGGAATAAGTAGATTAGTTTATCTCATGCAATAAAACAATTAACACCCTTTACGATTTTTTTAATGAATGAGTTAAGTAACAGAAAAGAATTTGCAAGCATATAAGGGAGAAATACCAAAAATTTAAATATTTTTAAATAAAAATTTTTTAAAGGCAACCCAATATTGTTGAATGACAATTGTGATGGTTATAAACCTTATATACGAATACAGTGTTGTTCTGTAGAAGCAAATTTCGGGAAAGATCTGAAAGCTAATCCTTTTGTTTATGACTTTTCAAAACATAAAATTCATAAATATTCTGATTTTGGTAAATTTTATTTATAATCAATTACAAACACGAAATAAAATTAAAAATAATTGAGTATATAAGAGATAGGTCGCGTTATCAGAAAACATGGAACTATTTTCCAATAAGGTGTAAAAAACATGATTAAATTTTTAAATTAATTTTGATTCAAAAATACATGTATCGGGGTAGAAAGATATTTTAGAACGTGCCTAAAATTTCTTAGTCTTTTTTATTCCAAAATAGTTTCGACACACTTTGGAGTTAAAATTTATAAAATTTTCAATAATTTAAAAAATCCTAATTAATTTTTATATTTAATTTTTAAGAGAAAGATTTAAATGAATTAATTGACATGTTTCCTTTAATTGCTAAAGAAGGGATTAATCAAATATTGTTGGCATCTGGAGGAATTAAAGAAATTGTTGGGAGAAAATTGCTTAATATTTTTCCTAAAGATGATTAATTTGCTGTTTTAATTTAAAATGGAGTTATTTTGAATAAAATTAATTTTGTTGAAAGATTTAATTTATGCATCTCCTGTTGCCTAAGGCCCATTTATTTAATTTTGGAGAAATTAATTTAAGATTTTCACGTTACTAAAAGTTGTTTAATTTCTTGAAAAATTCCCTCGCAGGTATATCGAGGATTTTGTCAGTTAGAAGTAATATCATTGTATGAGGGATTAAAGAGAATATAGACTGATGTGTGAAATATTGAGGGATAAAGAATTTAGTCAGATATCGAGAATTTACCTTATATACTCTTTTTGCTCTATCTGAAAGGAGTAGCTTGATGATTTTTTTCCTTACTTCCTTATTAAGGGAGAAAAAGTAAAAGTAAAAAAGTTTTTTTTCCTATTTTTCCTAGGTTTAAGATCGGAACAAGGAATTCCTCAATACGGAACAGGCAAACCACTGTCTAGTCAGTTTTTGGTATGACCTGTATTTTGGTCGTTTCGTAGTGTCGTTCCGTATCGTGCCTGATCTGTGTTTTAGCCTGCCACGATTAAAATCACCAACATTGTATTTTTTCGAAGCCATTTTAGGTAAAACAAACAGAATTTTTTTGAAAAATAAACAAAATGTATAAAGTTAAACAAAATCAACAGAAAAATGGAAACGTTACACATTTTTTTAAAAATACGTTTACACATTTTTACCTTACTCAAATATAAAGGAATTCGAGGCAGTCTAAATAATTAAGGAAAAAACTCAACCAGGCACTTCTTCCAGATAGAGTCCTATTTTCTTTAATCATCCGATACCCCTCCTCCAAAATAATCCTTTTTGATTTTTGTAAATATGTTTTTATATTAATAGGATATAAGGTAAATACCTCGATATCTGGAATAGTAAATTTTAATTGATCAGACACTAATTTCACTGTTAGAGAAATAAGAAGATTCTGGAGACACGGTAATACTCGAAGGGTAGTAGTATATAGTAGCCAGTTAAAACAATTTCTAAAAACAAAATTGTTTTAACTGGGCACTATAATGACTAACTAACTACTAGACTACTAAAGTAAAAATACTAAAAAAGAACATTTAAAAATGTTTTATTAAATTAAAATATTTAACTAGTAGAACGATTTATAAAAACAATTATTTTAATACAAAAAATTTTTAAAAAAAGATTAAAATAATTCTTAACGTTTTTACAACGGATTAGGGAATAGGTATTAATCTACGTCCTAAATATAATGTTAGCTTTGTTACCCCGATAACCAGGGATTTGGTAGCTACAACAATATCATAGCAAGTTTCTTTAACAAATAACCATGCGGTATCGAATATAGTTGGTTTATAATACACTACAGAAAAAGTAGGTTTGTATACTTGTTTCCACTCCTTTTCGTTCTCATCGTATTCAAACCATACATGACCACTCGGTTGTAAGGTTATATTTGTAAAATTTGAATGAGGAGTTAAGGAAGGGCGTAAAGCTTTATTCTCTTCATTTTTTGTTATTTTAACTTCACAGTTAACAAGCTCTATTAGTGCAACTAAAATTAATATAAAAAGCATTTTTCATATTATGAAAAAATGTGAATGATCATTTATATAGTTTTCATAAATTCCTATTCATTTAGTTCTTCAACATCAACAAAGTCCAAACATTCCAGAGGATAGAAATATTGATGCTGTCTTCCTCCAACAACGCAAACAAGAGGCAGCTGCGGATATACAAGGTCTATGTGATGTCGAACATAGAAATATTGCCGGATTGTCACACGCAAATATCCTCGTAATGCAAAAATACGATCCGCTCCTAATTTTGTCAATTTACTTGGATATACCTCGAATTGAATATGTCTTAAATGATTTGTTAGGATGGCCTTCGTTCCTGGTTTCATATTGTTGTCTGAAAATGTTTTTTGACCAGTTCCTGTGTTAGCGACATCTTCATTTGTCATAGTAGTAAGTGTTTGAAGAAATTGAATATTTTCGTTATATTTTTTACGCATTTCCCTGTGAAGTGACTCTGGTGCACATCCTCCATTAAATTTACAAAGCAATTGAACTAGTGAACCGGTTTTGACCTGTGCTTTTGGCGGAGCTCCAGAAGATATTTCGGCAGGCCCTCGCAATTCAGACATGTTGTTACTAGTACGAATGTTCATATCTTGCGTTTCGAGACTGTCTTTAGAATCCGTTACTTATATACTAAGTGGACCTTTTGCAAAACGAATACTAGGAAGGTCTCCACTCCCATTTCTTCTCAGATTTACATGCGCTTTAAATACAACTGCTAATACAAAGATTAATCCCAAATCAAGAACATAAGCAATCAAAAGCAGAATGTCTTTGTTTGGATTTGTTGAATGAGAAGGGCCGATTGAAAGGGCATGTGCTTCGTCGATAATAAAACATGAATTTACATTCGGTGGGATGGGACCGTGAAACGGGTAAAGTATATTACTATCGTTTTGTTTCAATATTTCTGCCGCAGCCAAGCTGATTATTGCAAATAGATATAGAAAAAATATCATTTTTTAAAATAATATAACAAACAATAGTTTAGTTTTCTTATATACTAGGTAGAAAAGCTAATCTCTGTACTAATCTCTTTAGAACAGCATCACGACTCTCTGAAGGTATTGAGTGCAATTTTTGAAGGGTAGATGAAAAATTACTTCCTTGGCTTGAACGTAAAACAAGAAAACAAATACAGTAATGCCCACAAGTATCGGATAAAGGAGATTGTAGAGAATAACGGCTTTGTTTAACTATCGAAAAGCGATTTAGCATAGATTGGCGCATGTCGCAGTTGGGAGTATCACCAAGCGAGTCAAAATATTCCAAAGTGTTTTTGCTATCCGAATAACAGGCAATCCAGTGTTCTCCGATTGTTCCTTTTCTCATAGTATTAGCAATAAAACAAAATGGTTTATTCAGCTCTATATTTGGAATATTATTAGATGAGAAGACACCAATAAATTTATTTTTAAGCGGCTTGTAGTTGAGCAATATTGTTTCAATTTGTAAAGAATTCATCTTATACAGATCCGTCAGTACTTAACACTCGATCGGCATTTATGGACAGAATTGAGTCGAACTCGCCCATAATTATCATTTCGTAACCATCGTCTTTGATCGGCTGATTGAAAATACACCGGACTGTAGTGGTTCCTTGTCTAATTAATTCTAGACCATTAGTATCCTCAAGTGTTGAAGTCATCGGTATAACAAAAAAACACGAGGATTTTGAAAATTCCTTCATACTGATATCAAGAGTTCTCTGGTCAGTATTTGGCCAATTATCAAGGTCCATACCCACAAACATATCAACATAGGCGCGTACGAAGTTATTATCGGCAAAATCAAAATCATACGAAACAGCAGGAAATTGGAATCCACCAAATTCAGCAGAAACCAAGCGTAAGTTAGCATGCTCAAAAGTAAATGGAGATAAAGCAGTATTTCCTGTAAAGGCGGGGGAGCTAACAAAACTAATAATTAAGCGTCTCGGGCAAGTACTCGTAAATGCCGCATGAGTAATTTCCTGACGGCCTTTTCCCAGGAAAACGCTGCGAATATCAATCTTTCTATAGGCATATTTTGCAGGTGACTGTTCTAGATGTCTAGCAATGGCATTGTTTAATGACATGCTCAAATCGACCTGTTTCACAAAAATTCTCATATCATGGAGACGAAGTCTGTATGTATTATTGTTATCAACTAATGCTGTAGCTGAGCGGTATTTTGGAGTATGAATAAGAAATTCATCAGAATTTCTGTAAATGGTCCAGATCACATCGCTATGTGGAATTAAAAGCTGGTTTTGTCGCGCCATATCATAATCCAAATGAGAAAACATTCTACACAATTTACCTTTAGCAAAGCGAGAAGCACGGGATTTAAATCCTGAACCCTCAAAATCATCTTTATCAACTGAATCTTTATAATAAAGTGCAGCTTCATAAATACCTTTACTTACTTCTCGATCGGCGCCAAGTTCATGAAGAAGGATACATCTATATGCATAG